GATCCCAGTATCCCACCTGAGTCGTCACTGCTCCAGCACAGGTTTCCCTCAGGGTCACAAATCTCCACCAGGACTCTGCCTCACTTCAGTCCTTCTCATGAAGTCTCGGTTCTCTTTGGTACATCCACAGACTCCTCTATCAGCCGCGTGGGGGGTCTCCTTACTCCAACAAACTTTTACAAGTAGCAGGGATTACTTTTCAGTCTTTTCCCTGCTGAGGAGAGAGAGCGAAAAGGGGGGAGGGAAACAAGCCCCCCCTTTCGCACTTTACTTTTCTTGCTGCAGCTTTGGCCTTGGAAGCTCCGTTATCTTTCGGTTGGAATTCTTCCACAGCGGTTTCTGTCCAAGCAGTTCGTCTTTTAAACTTTTTTTCTTCACTCTCTTACAAGAGAGAAGGGAGGACTTCAGTGCTGCACCTGCTCCCCCCACCCCGGCCCAAGCCGGGGGAGGAGGGAGTCTGGCCCTGCTCGGGCCCGCTACTCCTCTCTCCTACATGGTTGCTGCCCCTAATTTCAACTGCGCAAACAAAACCTTCTCTTCCATTTTCTTGAAGATGTAATTAGCAAAGGCGTCACTGGACTTTTGATTGGCCTTTTTGTCCAGAAATTACCTGGACAAAACCATCCTCAGCCCCAGGGATGGACTGGTGGGCAAAACCACGACAGTCTGTCTGACTGGAGGCTCTGTGTGAGCTTCTGTCTGAAAGAGGTGGGTGAAGAAAAAGCATCTTTGAAGAATCTTGTCTAAACACGAAGAACAGGACACTGATTGGGTGACCATGTTAGTCACCCTAGTTCATTTTCCTGAGCAGGAAATACTGAAGTTCCAGATCAGAGTCAGCTCTGACTCAGCATGGACAGGGCCAGGAGCGACTGCTGGTCACCCCTCACCCATACAAAAGCAGGTTCTGGGCATCACAATGCAGCAGGTCACAAAGGGAGAGTGCACTCACTCATCCAGCAGTTCAAGAGGTGAACTCAGTTGGTGGTCACTCCCCTCTTGGAAGGTATCCACATGGCTATGTCCTCTGCATTCACCAGAAAGGTTGTGGTGACACAGATGGAGCTGCTACAAAAATATGCAGCGTCCAGGTCTCAGGCTGCAGGGAGTGCCAGAGCCAGAGCCTGGCGCTGGTATTGGATGGCAGTAAAGACAACAGCTGTGTGAGGTGTGACCAGGGGGATGATCTGCTCAGTCTGGTGGCAGAGTTAAGAGAGGAT